GGAAGGAGGGAAGGATGTGGTTTGGCTGTGTGCATAGGAAACAGGGAGCTGTTCGTGTAGACACCTCCAGAGAAACGTGGGACAGATAACCTATAAGCAAGAGAGACCTACAGGCCCGGGGTGAAGGCAGAGTTGTGTTCCCAGATGCCCATGTGGCACCCTCCCTGCCCTCCCTCTCCTCTCTAGGTCTTTGTTCATGATCACCTTGCCAGTGAGATCTTTCTTGGCCCCTTATTCAGAATCACAACCGTGACCCCATTGCCTCTCCTTCTCCTCCTCCTCCTCCTCCTCCTTCCCCTTCTCCATAGACATTTCTTAAATGTATGAACCACAGAGATGCCCACAGTGAGGCCTATGCTGGGTGCCCAGTGCCTAGGGGGACTGGGCTGGGGTCTCAGGGACCAAGAGAAACCAGTCTGTCTGGTTCAAATGCAGGAATGGACCTTCCTTGTTCTAGGGCAGAAACCGAGGCGGCTCCCCAGGCACAGAGCCAGGCAGCCCAGCCAGAAGGAATGCCAGAAATTCCCACTGCTTATCACTGGCTTCATCTATTGGACTCTGATCTGGAAACCAGGGGTGGGGCTGGAGCGCGGCACAGGGCAGAGCAGGGGCGGGGGGAGCCTGGGTGCCCAGCCCAGCCTTGCTCTTGGAGCCAGCTGAAGTGTCCTCGTTTTTACACTTCTTTAAATAACTCATAGTAGCACAGATTCCAGGGACGCACAGATCTGGGTTCCTATCCTTCCCTATCCTTAAAAAAATTTTTTTTTTTCTTTTTGAGGAGTCTTGCTTTGTCCTCAGGTTGGAGTACAGTGGCACGTGATCTCAGCTCACTGCAACCTCCACCTCCTGGGTCCAAGTGATTTCCCTGCCTCAGCCTCCCGAGTAGCTGGAACTACAGGCACACGCCACCATGCCTGGCTAATTTTTATTTTTTATTTTAGTAGAGATGGATTTCACCATGTTAGCCAGATGGTCTCGATCTCCTGACATTGTGATCCATCTGCCTTGGCCTCCCAAAGTGCTGGGATTACAGGCGTGAGCCACTGCGCCCTGCCAAAATTTTTATTTTTTGAGACAGGTTCTCCATCACCCACGCTGGAGTGCAGTAGTGCAGTCATGGCTCACTGCAGCCTTAACTTCCCAGGCTCCATTGATCCTCCCACATCCAGCCTCCCAAGTTGGGACCATAGGCATATGCCACTATGCCCAGCTAAATTTTGTATTTTTGATAGAGATGGGGTTTCCCCATGTTGCCCAGGCTGGTCTTGCACTCTTGAGCTCAAGTGATCCACCTACCTCAGCCTCCCAAAGTGCTGGGATTACAGGCATGTGCCACCACGCCCAGCCTCCAGCCCTTTACCCACAGTGACCACAGGGACATCTCCTCCTTAGCTTCCATTTGGAAGATGAGGTTAACAAATAGAACATTTGAGGAGGGTCTGGTGATGGAGGAGTCAGTGAGTCATGTCTGGTGCAGAGCGGGAGGGCGCTGAGTGGTCATTGTGACCTAGGCTGTGAGTCATGGGACAGGTGATTGATAAGCATACCATATTGGAAACCTGAATTGGTCTTTTGTGGATTTTTGGTTCACTGCATTTTCTGACTTCCTTTTAGTTAGTTGGAAGCAAACCACATAATGGCAGCGGAGGCCCATAAGGAATTGGCTTTAAATGAAAACTAATTGTTTATCCTGGACATGCCCAGTTCTCACCTGCAGAAGGTACGGGAGTGTGCTTCCTTCAGAACGCTGACCTCCCCTGACCTTGCCGGGTGTGGCTGTTTCTGGCAGGGTATTGTTCTGAGACAGCCTGCCCTGGGTCCACACTCAGGTCCTGTCCTGGCTCTGCCCCAGGTTGGTGTGTGACAGTGGGCAAGGCCCTGTGGCTCCGCCCTGGCTTCCTTGCCCCCGCCCCCCCCACTCCCTCACCTGGCCTGCTTTTGGCAATGAAAGGAGAGTGCTGATGAGCAGCAGAGGCTGGCAGGTTGCTGCAGGTGTGTGTGTATGGGGGGATCCCTGGAGCTTCATCCCAGTGTGGGGAGAGCAGGTGCCAACCCCTGGAGAGAGGGACCCTTCCCTGGGCCTCCCACTTTGGGCTGAGCCATTTACTTGGGTTGCAGGGAGGCAAGGCCAGGGGCAGTTCACAGATGGATGGATACCTGCTTCTTATCTTATGTTGTTAATTTAATTTTTCTTAATTTTAATTTTATTTATTTTAGTTTATTTTGAGACAGGGTCTTGCTTTTGCTCAGGCTGGAGTGCAGTGGCACAATCATGGCTCACTGTAGCCTCAACCTCCCAGGTTCAAGTGATCCTTCCTCCTCAGCCTCCTGAGTAGATGGGACCACAAGCACACCACCACCACACCTGGCTAATTTTTAAATTATTCGGTAGAGAAAGGCTTCCTGTATATTGCCCAGGCTGGGGTCTTGAATGCCTGGGCTCAAACTGTCCTTCTGCCTTGGCCTCCCAAAATGCTGGGATTACAGGCATGAGCCACCGCACCCAGCCCCCACTGCTTCCTCTTAATACACAGCACCTGTGCAGGGTAGGATTCTGAACTCTGTCATGGATGGAGAAATAGGATTGTTACTTCCTAAGCACATTGTGTATTTAGTGTAAATTATGTGTTGGGCACTGGTGATAAGTGAACAAAAGCCAGAATCTTCCTGGGAGAGCAGGGAAGATGCTCACTCAGCCTCACCCAGCCACACAGCCTTTGACTTCCAAGCTCAGAGCCCCACCTGCCACTTCCCCATTGAGCCACACCCTTCCTGAGCCAGACCCCTGGGGGTTGGAGGGAGGAGGATTGTGAGGGCCGAGGGTCCCCCTGTAGCTCAACTACAGGCCCCCAGTCTTGTCCCTGTGTCTGGAGGGATCCACGCAAGAGCTTCCCTTCTGGTCCTCAGAGGGGGTGCCTTGGGGTGGGGTGCCCAGGAGGCACCCATCTCTGGCTGTGCTCTGGTTCTGGGCCCTCAGGCGCTCTGGGGGCTGGCGGCAGCCCCTCAGCTGCTGGGAACGGCCAGGAGGACTTTCTGTCTGTAAAGCCTGGCAGCCAGAGGCGGGTCCTGCTCCAAAGCCACTTCTCTGATCCCACTGACTTGTTTTTGGGCTGGTGTTAAGGTCACTGTGCAGCCTTGGTGCCATGTACCTAGGTGCTGAGCAGGGGAAGAGGAGGACACCTCTGTGTGTCTTGATTGGCCACAGAGCCTTTCTCCGAAGCTAGACCCTTATGTCCCCTCCATGGCCAGGGATTCCTGAGATTGCCTTCATGGAGAAGGGAGGATACTCCAACCTAGAGCATCTCCGCCAGCAAGGGGTAGGAGGGTCTGGGGAGGCCCAGGATGGCCACATGCGAGGTGCCTCTAGGGGCCTCCATGAGCTCACTGGTCCCTGCTTCAGCTGGCCCTTTGCTGGGCTGCACCCTGAGACAGTCTGCTGGTGAGTTGACAAACCTGCCCTCAGAGGATTCTCTGTGGCTGCAAGGGCTGGGGCCTGTGCAGTCCACCTTGGACTTCTAGAATAATAATTAAAAGACACTTCTGTTGCAATCATTTATGTGCATGAACTTGTAGGTCCTCACAGCAGCCCTGTGAGGTAGGAACGGTCATTATACTCATTTGATAAGCAAGGTAACCAAAGCACGGGGTGTTTATGCCGTTGTCCAAGGCCAAGTGCATAACCGTACAGCTGGTAAGGAGAGCTGGGGTTGAAGCCAGGCAGTTGGGCTCCAGAATCCGTGCTGTTACCCACTACCCACGCTCTGCTGGGATGTTCGGGCTCATCCTGCCACGTGGGAATGGTGTGACATGCAGGCCCCTTGGCTTCTCAGTAGCCCAGTTTTGTGTAAGAAGGTAATACCTGTATAGAAGGGCATCTGGGAGAGCCAGAGACATGGGGTGTCAGGCAGGAGGTCACCCAGAGGCCCTTGTGACGTTCTCTGCTGGGCCCAGCTGGGAAGGAGGACACAGGGCTGTTGTTTTCCTGCCTCTGGGGCTCTCGTGACTTGATCTTCCTTTCAGCAGCTTTAACTGACCCCCTGGCAGGGCCCAGGTCCTGTGCTGTGTGTGGGGACACAGCTGTGACGGTCACAGCCCTGCCCTCGCAGAGCTCGCAGTCTGGGGAAGGGAACGATTATGGCCCTGGATGGTGGGTGCCTGAAGCGGGTGGCCCTGTGAGCGCTGAAGAGGGCTCTGGGATGCAGGCTGGCTGCACGAGGGGTGTCCTGGAGCACCTGACATCTCAGCTGAGACCTGGAAGAGGAGTAAGAGTGCAGGTCAGGGCCCCAGCACAGTGTTGTACCGCAGGAGCCAAATCAGCATTTCTTTTTAAAATTTTTTCTATCTTTTGAGACAGTTTCACTCTGTCTCTCAGAGGTTGGCATGCAGTGGCATGATCATAGCTCACTGCAGCTTCTAATTCCTGAGCCCATGTGATCCTCCTGCTTCAGCCTTCTAAGTAGCTGGGACGACAGGTGTACACCACCATACCTGGCGAATTATTTAAATTATTATTATTTTTGAGATGGAGTTTCGCTTTTGTCGCCCAGGCTGGAGTGCAGTGGTGCTATCTCAGCTCACTGCAACCTCCACCTCCCAGGTTCAAGCAGTTCTCCTGCCTCAGCCTCCCAAGTAGCTGGGATTACAGCCATGCACCAGCACACCCAGCTAATTTTTATATTTTTAGTAGATAGGGTTTCCCCATCTTGGCCAGGATAGTCTCGAACTTCTGACCTCAGGTGATCTGCCCACCTGGGCCTCCCAAAGTGCTGGGACTACAGGCATGAGCCACTACACCAGCCCTTAGTTATTTTTGTAGAAATAGGGACTTGCTTTGTTGTCCAAGCTGGTCTTGAACTCCTGGCCTCAAGCAATTATCACACCTTGGCCTCCCAAAGTGCTGACATTACAGGCATGAGCCACTGTGCCTGGCCAGTATTTCTTAGCTAGATGAGAAATGAAACCACATCCCTGGCCGACCCTGCCCTGTCTGACCCTCCTAGGTGCTGGGGCTGCTGGTGTGGGCCCTGATTGCAGACACCCCATACCACCTCTACCCTGCCTATGGCTGGGTGATGTTCGTCGCTGTCTTCCTCTGGCTGGTGACAATCGTCTTCTTCATCCTCTACCTGTTTCAGCTGCACATGAAGTTGTACATGGTGCCCTGGCCACTGGTGGTGAGTCTGGGTGAGGGTACTGGAAGTGGCTATGCCAGGACCACTGTGACTTTCCCTGAAAGAAGTGGCAGGGTGCGGGGGATTGCCTGACATCCTCACTGACCTAAGCTGGTCTGCAGAGCCAAGGGTGGAGGTGAGGATTGATGGTTCAGAGGTCCAGTTTTTCTTTCTTTTTTTTCCTTCAAGACACTGTCTCACTATGTACAGGCTAGGATGCAGTGGCTTGATAACGGCTCACTGCAAACTCAAACCCTTGGGCTCAGGGATCCTTCCATCTCAGCCTCTCCCATAGCTAGGACTACAGGCACATGCCACCATGCCCTGCTAATTTTTGTACTTTTTTTTTTTAGAGGAGGGCTCTTGCTTTATTGCCCAGGCGGTCTTGAACTCCTGGGCTCAAGCAGTTCTACTTCAGCCTCCCAAAGTGCTGGGATTACAGGAGTGAGCCACCACACTCAGCCTAGGTGTCCTGCTTTTCTGAGAACCATAAGCCAGGAAGGACACAGGCTTGACTTTGTCCCAGGAGGGGAGTAGAAATGAGGGGCAGTTGAGTGGATTTATAACAGGCCATTTGGAATCTTAAAAATATTTTTCCCGGCCAGATGTGGTGGCTCATGCCTCTAATTGCAGCATTTTGGGAGACCAAGTCAGGTGGATTACCTGAGGTCAGGAGTTTGAGACCAGCTTGACCAATATGGTCAAACCTCATCTCTACTAAAAATACAAAAATTAGCCAGGTGTGGTGGTGCGTGACTGTAGTCCCAGCTACTTGGGAGTCTGAGACAGGAGGATCGCTTGAATCCAGGAGGTGGAGGTTGCAGTGAGCCAAGATTGTGCCATTGCACTCCAGCCTGGGCAACAGAGTGAGAATCTGTCTCAAAAAAAAAAAAAAAATTCCCTTTGGGGGTGGTCAGAATTTGTGCCTGTGTTGTGTGGGTTTGTGAGACTAACTGGACCCAGGCAGGCAGCCCTGTGCCTGGAGGTTGGGATGAGCTGTCAGAAGTTGCCCAGGCCAGGGTTTCAAGAGTGCAGGACAAGCTCAGGCACTCGGCTGCCTCCAGGTGAGGCTCTGCCTGTCCCCTCTCGGCCAGGCATCCCAGGTTTGCCCCAGGACACAGGGCTGAGAGGGGACATGGGAAGTACCCCGGCCGGACACACAGAAAGCTGCTGTTTTTTTTTTTTTTTTTTTTTCTTCCCTCTGACCCGGAAAACCCCTGCAGCTGGGGTCTGAGGCTTTCAATGAGAAGAGAGGCAAGAGAGGCACATGATTGTAAGACAAGCAAGGCTGGGACTAGGCGGTATTGTTTGGAATTCAATGACTTTTTAAACGGAGGAAACGTGAGTCATCCTCAAGACAGAATGGGTTTGTTAGATCTCCACATCCCTGGCAGAAACAGGCAGCGTTTGCAGGGGTCGCTGGGCTTGCAGGGAAGATTTGGGAGCCAGGAGGTGGCGGCCTGACTTCCGGGCCCAGGGTCCACCCCCTCCCTCGTGTCCCAGGAGCCTCTAAGAGAGAAATCTCCAGAGATAAAAGCCTGTGTGTCTTTTAGATGCAGACTTGGGGCTCCAGCCTTGGCCGTCAGTGGAAGGAGGCTCCCTCTGCCACGACAGCAGGGCACTGCTTCTTGTGCTTCTGGACCCTCCATGAATGGGGCAAAGAGGGTTTAACTGCATCGAGAGAAGGCTGGATTAGCATGGCCAACTTGGGATTTTCTGGCATGGGGGCTACAGACCCCTGCTGGATCCAGGCAAGATATGTGAGTGAATTGGGTCAGGAAGGACCCTGGAGAACCCAGCACCCATCTGCCCATCGCGAGCTGCCTCTATACCCACTTCATCTGTTGCTAGTGGAAATGCAGCCCCTTGGCGCAAAATCTTTTGATATCTTAAGATTTTTTTTATTTTTGAGACAGAGTCAAAAAAAAAAAAAGAGTCTCACTCTGTCACCAGGTGCCAGGCTGGAGTGCAGTGGTACGATCTCAGCTCCCAGGTTCAAGCAATTCTCCTGCCTCAGCTGCCTGAGTAGCTGGGACTACAGGCGCACACCACCATGCCCAGCTAATTTTTGTATTTTTTAGTAGAGATGGGGTTTCATCATGTTGGCCAGGATGGTCTTAATCTCTTGACCTCGTGATCCACCTGCCTCGGCCTCCCAAAGTGCTGGGATTATAGGCGTGAGCCACTCTGCCCGGCCTCAAGTTTTTTTTTTTTTAAGACAAGAGTCTCGCTCTGTCACCCAGGCTGGAGTAGTGGCATGATCTTAGCTCACTGCAACCTCTGTCTCCCAGCTTCAAGTGATTCTCTTGCCTCAGCCTCCTGAGTAGTTGGGATTACAGATGTGCACCCATAACTCCTGGCTAATTTTTGTATTTTTAGTAGGAAAGAGGGTTCACCATGGTGACCAGGCTGGTCTTGAACTCCTAATCTCAAGTGATCCACCCGCCTCAGCCTTCCAAAGTGCTGGGATTAAAGGCATGAGCCACCACACCTAGGCCAAGATTTTTTTAATGAAAGTTTTACATGAAGTCTTTGGGTTTTCATGAAATCTAATTTTAAAATGTTGCTAATTTTTAAAAATTATATTGGATGAATGAAATGTTTAAGGGCCATTCGTCTGAAGACTGTTTTTTTTGTTTGTTTTTTGAGACAGTCTTGCATTGTTGCCTGGGATGGAGTGCAATGGCACAATCTCGGCTCACTGTGACTTCCGCCTCCCAGGTTCAAGTGATTCTCCTGCCTCAGCCTCTTGAGTAGCTAGAGGAATATAGACGCCTACCACCATGCCTGGCTAATTTTTTGTATTTTTTAGTAGAGATGGGGTTCCACTAAGTTGGCCAGGCTGGTCTCGATCTCCTGACCTCGTGATCTGCCCGCCACGGCCTCCCAAAGTGCTGGGATTACAGGCATGAGCCACCATGCCTGAAGACTGTGAATGGGCTCTGGGGACCAAGCATTTGGGATGAGGAGTTGGGGCCTGGTTGTCAGCAGAGGACCCCTTCCTACCAGTCTGGTTCTGTATCCAGCTGGGACTGTCTGGTCCTCCTGGTCCTGACGCTGGCATTTGCTTGGAGCCTTGAACTTAGGATGTGGCCCAATGGGAGACAAAAACTCTTCCCCCTGGAGGCAGAGAGGGACATGAGGCCCAGCCCAGGACCAGCCACAGAGCCAAGCCCTGCAGTGGTACCAGGGATGGTCTGGGCTTGGCTGTGGGCCACACTTGGAGGAGTGGCCTGTATTTCTTTAGCTGGTACAAAAAGGTGGGTCATGGATTGGTCTCTTTCTTTGAGGAATGGGTCTGCACTGCTCCTACCCCATCATTGAGGCCTTCCTGTCATTCCCCTCCCCCAGCCTCAGGTGTGTTCATGCTCCCTGCTCTGCAGCCCTCCTGGGGGCCTCCAGCTGATGGGCTGACCCCCTGGAAACCTCGGCCTCTTGAGGCCTTGTCAGTGGTCCCCAGGTGTTTGTGTCCCCATCCAATGGCTACTCAAGGGGAGTGCCAGTGAGAACCAGGAGGGCCCAACTGTTGGTCTCTTTGTGGGTGTTTTTTTTTTGTTTGAGACAGGATCTTCCTCTGCTACGCAGGCTGCAGTGCAGTGATATGATCAGGGCTCACTGCGGCGTCAACCTCCCGGCCCTAGGTGATCCTCCCATCTCAGTCTCCCAAGTAGCTGAGATCACAGGCATGCGTCATCATGCCTAACTTTTTTGTTTTTTATTTTATTTTTTAAATGGAGTCTCACTCTGTCATCAGGCTGGAGTGCAGTGGTGCCATCTCGGCTCACTGCAACCTCCACTTCCTGGGTTCGATTCTCCAGCCTCAGCCTCCCGAGCAGCTGGGACTACAGGCACATGCCACTGTGCCCAGCTAATTTTTGTATTTTTAGTAGAGATGGGGTTTCACCATGTTGGCCAGGATAGTCTCGATCTCTTGACCTTGTGATCCACCTGCCTCGGCCTCCCAAATGCTGGGATTACACGCATGAGCCACCATGCCTGGAAAACGTTTTTATTTTTTGTAGAGATGGGGCCTCCCTATGTTGCCCAGGCTGATCTCCAACTCCTGGGCTCAAGTGATCCTTCCACTTCAGCCTCCCAAAGTGCTGGGATCACAGATATGAATGGCCTCTCTTTGTGTCTGAAGCCTTTTCTCTCCCCGTTCCCTACCTCCATGTCCTGCAGTTAATGATCTTTAACATCAGCGCCACCGTTCTCTACGTGACTGCCTTCATCGCCTGCTCTGCGGCAGTTGACCTGACGTCCCTGAGGGGCACCCGGCCATATAACCAGCGTGCGGCTGCCTCGGTGAGTCTGCTTCCTGGGCTCCCTCAGTGCTCTGCAGGGTCTCCGCCCCAGGACTCATGCTGCTTGCTTGGTCTGAAGCCAGGCAACTGCCACCTCCTGAGTTGTTACCTGAATGCTCAGTGGGTCTCGTAGGGGAGCCAGGCTGCTTCCAGGCTTCTGTAATTAACAGTGGGGAGTGGTGTGTGGCGGCCAATGGAAGTCTGGGGTTAACTTTGTTTTTGAGATGGAGTCTTGCTCGGTTGCCCAGGCTAGAGTGCAGTGACGTGAACTCAGCTCACTGCAACTTCTGCCTCTTGGGTTCAAGTGATTCTCCTGCCTCAGCCTCCTGAGTAGCTGGGACTACAGGTGTGTGCTGCCATGCCAGCTAATCTTTTTGTATTTTGTTTTTTGTTTTGGAGAGGGGAGATGGAGTCTCACTCTATCGCCCAGGCTGAAGAGCAGTGGTGCAACCTCGGCTCACTGCAACCTCCACCTCTTGGGTTCAAGCGATTCTCCTGCCTCAGCATCCCAAGTAGCTGGGATTACAGGTGCAGGCCACTATACCAAGCTAATTTTTGTATTTTTAGTAGAGATGGGGTTTCACCATGTTGGCCAAGCGGGTCTCGAACTCCTGACCTTAGGTGATCCATGTGCCTTGGCCTCCTGAAGTGCTGGGATTACAGGTGTGAGCTACCACACCTGGCCTGGAATAACTATAAAAACTTGTTGTGAATCAGTTGTGCCACACTGACTTAGGGTCATGTGCCACCTTGGAGAATGTGAAAAACTGCATGCTCTCCCTCTGACAAGTGCACATGCAAAAGCCTTTTGGTTTAAACCATTCTGGGAAATTCATAGGCTGTCCCATGAAACCCAAACTCTGGGCCCACGTTAGGTGGCCAGTGAAGTGGCTGCAGTCCCCTCCACACCTGTCACCCTTCACTCCACCAGGCCTTGCACACCGTCTCCTCCCAGGATCCTGTGACACCCCCAGTGAGGGAGAGGAAGGGATTACCAGTCCCTTTTGATAGACAGGAGGCTCCCACTCAAGAGAGGTTGGGCGCCAGGCCTGGAGCCACGGCCCAGCCTAGGGGAGGGCAGGGCCTCAACTAGCCCTCATTTGGGTTCCTTACTCTTCCTGACAAGGGCAGTTTTGAAATCAGCAAATTTGGTGATGGGGACAGAGTGGGGAGCTTCCGAATGTGGCTGCAGATTTGAGTATAGAGGCGTGAACTGGTTCTAGAAAATCCCTAGGGTGGCCTTTGAATGTTGTCTTTTTGAACTAAATTCTTGTGAAACCCCATCTCTACTAAAAACACAAAAATTAGCTGGGTGTGGTGGCGCATGCCTATAGTCCCAGCTACTCGGGAGCCTGAGACAGGAGAATCCCTTGAACCCAGGAGATGGAGGTTGCAGTGAGCCAAGATCATGCCACTGCACTCCAGCCTGGTGACAGAGTGAGACTCTGTCTCAAAAAAAAAAAAAAAAAAAAAGAACTAAATCCTTGCTAGGTGTCCCCTCTGTCACTCTTACCTTCTCCTTCATTGCCCTCCTCACAATCTGAAGGCCTGCCTGTGGTCCTTAGCTATTCACCGTGCTTAGAAGGTAATGTTGGCATCCCTGGATGCTGGTGCTCATCAGCCCCACGATAAACAGCTGTGAAATGCGTCTGGCTAAGTGTGAGATGGTGCGGCTGCCACATCTCTTCCTGTCTGGGCCTGAGATCTGTTTGGGACTTGTGTCACTGTCACCCTCCCGCTCCTTAAGCCCTTCTCACCTCTCTTTCAGTTCTTTGCGAGTTTGGTGATGATTGCCTATGGAGTGAGCGCCTTCTTCAGCTACCAGGCCTGGCGAGGAGTAGGCAGCAATGCAGCTACCAGTCAGATGGCTGGTGGCCATGCCTAAACAACCTGTGCCATGGCCCCCTCTGGGGCTGAAGCCGCTGCTGGGTCACAGAGCAGGGTAACCTTGCAAGCCTGAAGCTGGGGAGCCCTGCACAGAGTCAGCCCCGCAGGGACTACACTTGCTCCTCTCTGCCCATCAGACAGAAGCTCTCACAGTGCTAAGGAAGCAGGCCCAGGTTGGCAGGCATCTGGGCTTGTGGGAGGCCAACCACGGAGACCTCCTTTCCATCCCCCTTATTCAGTGGAAGGTGACGGGGGAATCTGAGGCTGTGTCTCTGCCTTGTCTTTGGAGGACTTCAGCGTCCCAGGCTGGGGCCCACCCTTCTCACCAGCCCTAAATGCACTAACAAGGACTCTAGACCTGTAGCCCCAGACCTGCTGTAGTGTAAGCCTAACAGGCAACATGTAGCACCTTAGTCTTTGTTCCGGGAGAGCTGAGCAAGCTCATGAAACCATTCTCCTTCCTTTAAATGCAGTTCCGACCCACCGCTCCCTGGAGCCAACCTGTACAAAGTGGGTTATGATTGTTGACAGCATGGTCTTCCCTCCCTGCATTTCAGACACACCAGTTATTGAAAGCAAATCAGTTTTCAGTGACATCTCAATGCTGAGAAGCCTGGCCAGGTTTTCTTCCCTTTCCCAAGCCTCTCTCTTTAATACTCCCTTTGGGTGAAGCTAACATCAGTGCCAACTGCCTCCCTGACCCTGCCTCCCTGACCCCAGGCACACGGGACGTGAAGGAGGGAGGGAAGCAAGGCCTTGCCTGGCGAATTGTCATGTGGTTGGTGGTGACTTTGTTTTTTTGTTTTGTTTTTATAAAAATAAATATGAGAGAAATTACTTGGACCAGATGTTGGGGAATCATTTTGCAGGTGCTTATAACCTCCAGGAGGCCTGAGCTTGACTGTGTAAGATGCCTGCCGTAGGGCAGTTCACGATCTGGAGTCCTTCAGCACCACCTGCCAACTCTTTGCCCGGAGGGAGGCTACCTACACTTCCTGCTTGCTGTATCTGGAGCAGTCCTGGTTTATGCTGTTTGTGCTTGCATAAGTAGAATAGCATGGCCTTTTATTCTCACAAGTGTCTCAGTTTGGCAATAACTTAGCCACCCTTGCTTTGGGCAGGTTAGGTGATCTTACTGAATGAAAGATTTCAACAGTATCACCTACCTCGAAAGTCTGTGAGTCTCAGAGGTCATATATCAAGGTGGCCGGCCATGCTGCATGTGCAGAGCTGGTAGAGACAGCAGAGGAAAGCAGCTGAGTACTCCCGAGCTTATTTTTCCAACACCACAGAGCAGCCTTCTCTGAACAATGAGGTAAAAGCGTTTCTAGACACCCTCTAGTCCCTTTTTGTTATTTTTTTTTGGAGATAGAGTCTTGCTCTGGTGCCCAGGCTGGAGTACAGTGGTGCAATCTTGGCTCACTGTAACCCCCTCCTCCTGGGTTCAAGCAATTCTCCTGCCTCAGTCTCCCGAGTAGCTGGGATTATAGGCGCCCACCACTACGCCCAGCTAATTTTCGCATTTTTAGTAGAGGTGGGGTTTCTCCATTGGCCAGGCTGGTCTGTAACTCCTGGCCTCAGGTGATCCACCTACCTTGGCCTGTCAAAGTGCTGGGATTATAGGTATGAGCCACTGCGCCTGGCCTCTGCGTCCTTTATACAGTGGGAATTAAAATGTAACTAAGTTCAAACAGTTGCAGATGAGCTACTCTGTTACTAAGGGTTGGGGGATTAAGTCTAGTACCTATGTCCTAGTCAGCCTGGGACAAGCCCACTTTGTGCTGTTGTCCTGGTATAATTTGTTTAAGGGACAGGGTCTTGCTCTGTTGCCCAGACTGGAGGGCAGTGCCACAATCATAGCTCGCTGCAGCTTTAACTGCCCAGGCTCAAGCAATCCTCCCGCCTCAGCCTCCTGAGTAGCTTGGACTACAGGTGCATGCCACCATGGCCAGCTAGTTTTTAAGTTTTTTGTAGACACTGGGTCTCGATATATTGCCCAGGCTGATCTTAAACTCCCAGCTTCAAGTGATCCTCCCACTTCAGCCTCCGAAAGTGCTGAGATTATAGGCGTGAGTCACTGCACCTGGCCTTGGTACAAATATTAGTAGTATCACTGTTTAAAGTGTCTCAGAGTCTGAATAATAAATTAGTAATTCCTGGAATAAGTTGTAAGAGTTTGGTTTTAAGGAAGGGCAGTGCACTTAAATGCAAAACAAATTCCTAGGCAAGTTAGAGAGCTCACCCGTTAATGTTTCTGGCATGAATCAAACAGCCTGTTTCAGGGGACACATTAAAGGCGCTCAGTCAATCCTAAGTCTCGGCAGTTTGCGTGACTTGTGTTCCACTGGGGAGGAGTCCTAAGCAAGTGGACTAGGACTTCCTCACCCCAGGCCAGGTGGGACCCCCATCAAAGGTGACACCTGACATCACAGTCTAAGTGTCTGTTGGTGGAGAGAGGCTGCTAGTTTATTTTAAAAGAAACCAGAAAAGCCTACTTACAATACTAAGCAACAACAGACTTGCCTTTTTTCTGAGCAGAAACAGTGGCTCACACCTGTCATCCCAGCACTCTGGGAGGCAGGTGGATCACCTGAGGTCAGGAGTTTGAGACCAATCTGACCAACATGGTGAAATCTGAAGTCCTGTCTCTACTAAAAATACTAAAATTAGCTGGGTGTGGTGGTGGGTGCCTGTAATGTAATCTCAGCTATTCGGGAGGCAGCCCAGTTTCTGAACCCAGGAAGTGGAGGTTGCAATGAGCCAAGATCATGCCACTGCACTCTAGCCTGGGCAGTAAAGAGCAGAACTCCACCCCCCCCAAAAAAGTATGAAAAACCAATTTGCCTTTATCTTTGTTTTTTCATCATTTAATCTCTGGGACTTGTCCACTGGCCTTTTCTCAAGCAGGCAGGTGGGTCCACAGGTCTCAGCAAGGGCCCCCAACATGCCTGGGCTGTGGTGGACAGTCCCATTTATAGACAGAGCAAGGAAAGCAAGCCCAGGAGAGGTGGCATTTTAAAAAGCTGGCTCTGAGTGGTTTTAAAGGGCCAAAGTGGGCTGGTGCAAGTGCTGTGGCATTTACAACTAATAGATCAGCACCAGTTGCAGGTTTCCTTGTTCCTTCTCTACTCCCGTTGCTTCACTTGACTAGCCTTAAAACAAAAACAAAAAACAAAACCCACAAAGCAATAATAACCTGATGGCAATGGCTACATTATAGAAAGAAGAGACTCATCGAGAATGGTGGTTCTTGCAAAACACCTCAAATTTTACTCATGGTACAAAAGTATTTAGTAAGTGACAGATCAGTACAGGAAAACACAGAGTTTAGAGCTTTTCCTTTAATACCAGAATGGCCAAGTGAAAAGTCAGTACAGATTCTTATTTTTACTATTAAAAAAAGTCAAAGGGACACACTGGGATTGGACTACTACGTTTTTTTCTTTCTAGAGATGACACACATGTTTTCTGATAAGTAATCTAACACACACTGCACTACACCAAAGCAGACAGCCAGTAAAGCTGTGTTCTACCTGCTACTCATGCTGGGCTGGACAGTGGAACACCATCTTGGCAGGAGAGATTTTGACAGGAAAAAACTGCAGTCCCTACCTAACCCAGAGAACCTAACAAACTGGTTTACACAGAAGGATTTTCAGCAAACATGCAAGCACACTAACATGCTGTAAGAATCTGCGTTAGTCTATTTCTAGCACACAGCATACATTCATCGGTGCCCAGTAACATAGGAACGAACGTGAATGTAGAAAGCATTTTTGCCTTCACAGCACTAACACCTAAAAAGCTCACAGCATATAATACTTTGATCTTTTACGTGGATAATCATGGAAGTTCCAAGATCACATCCACTAGGTTAGCCTGAGTATTCATCTATAAAAATATTTTTTTTTCAAAAATAATGCTTAAAAGAGACTTCTAGAAACAGTGGGGACTAAATCAGAACCAGAAGACAGTGACACTATGACTGGAAATGTTAGGACTAGGGGTGGCTTTTCAAGCGGAGCTTTTATGCAGAGGACCTCTCTTTCTGTTGGTTCCTACAGCTGAGAAAAGCTGTGATCACAGGAGATCCCGAAATCTCGAGATGAGCTAGAGTAACACCCTAGATAAACATCAGGAACTCCACTGAGGCTGCAGTACTGAAACCATGACCCATGTGAAAAAGGGGTGCAAGTGCACAGAAAGATTCATGCAGAGCCTGCTGGGACAGCGGGTGGTGACGGCAGGTTAGTCCACACTCACACACCAGCAAGTGTGCTGGGGGAAGGGCCCCCCCAGGTGGAATGCCTGACTCAGAAGCTCCTGAGAGAGGTGTCTACTTGAGGAGAAGAGGAATACTATGGTAAATGAATACAAGGTGTTTCAGGAGAAACAGGTCCAGGAGGGGTTAGGTCATTTTGATTTTGACCTATCAATACTTAACATACACAAAGAGTTACATAACAGAGTCAGTCTTTTTAAGATGTATTCTGTCATCATCAGCTGAGCCTATTGGGCCAGTGACATCCAGAATGATCCCATTCATTGGCTGGAGGCAGGACCTAGTGCCGCAGATTGTTCGGGGAAGCTGGCACAGATGATGATTTGCACAACGACGTCACCACTAAGCCACTGCTTAAATCCAGTCCTCGGCCTTCTTTTTCCTATACGAGAAAGCAACCCAAAGAAAGGACTAGAAGGAACCCCAGCTTAGAATCTTGCCTCTGACGTTGGGAAGGCAGAGCTCAAGGTGGGAAGAGTACATAGGAAGGGAACAGAGGTTATCGGTTATTCTGCATTTCTTTTCAGTACTAGCCTGCCCTATCTTACTTTATTATTTTTAAAGAGGTAGGGTCTTACTCTGTCACCAAGGCTGGAGTACAATGGCTTGATCATAGCTAACTGCTGCCTGGAATTCCTGGGCTCAAGTGATCATCCTGCCTCAGCCTCCTGAGTAGCTATTACTATAAATGTGCACCACTAAACCTGGCTTTTTAATTTTTATTTATTTTATTTTTGAGACGAAGTTTCACTCAGGCTGGAGTGCAGTGACATGATCTCTGCTCATTGCAACTTGTGCCTTCCACTTTCAAGCAACTCTCTTGCCTTGGCTTCCCAAGTAGCTGGGATTCAGGCCACACCCAGCTAATTTTTGTATTTTTCCATAGAGATGGGGTTTCACCATATTGGCCAGGCTGGCCTTGAACTCCTGACCTCATGATTCGCCCACCTAGGACTCCCAAGGTGCTGGGATTATAGGGATAAGCCACTTGGCGCCCAGCCTATTTTTATTTTTGTAGAGACAGGGTCTTGCTATGTTACTCAGGCTAGTCTTGAACTCCTAAGCTCAAGCGATTCTCCTATCTTGGCCTCCCAAAGCACTGGAATTGTAAGTATGAGCCACTGTGTCCAGGCTGGCCCTGGTCATTCTTAAAATGAACTCTTAAAAAAAGTACCTCCCTTGCAGTGAGCCGAGATTGCACCACTGCATTCCAGTCTGGATGACAGAGCAAGATTCTACCTCAAAAACAAAACAAAACAAAACAAAACAAAACAAAACATACCTCCGTTCACTGGAAAACATTTTTCTTTTCTTTTGTTGGGAGATGGGGGTCTTGCCATGTTTCCCAGGCTAGAGTGCAGTAGCTATTCACAGGCACCACTACTGTGTAATACAGCCTCAAACTCCTGGGTCAAGTGATCTTCCTGTCTCGCCCTTCAAATAGCTGGGACTACAGGCATGCAACACCACACCCAACACCATTTATTTTTTTCTTTTCTTTTCTTTTTTTTTTTTTTTTTTTTGACACAGGGTCTGACTGTCACCCCGGCTGGAC